GCCCTTTGAGTTTTCATATTTTCTATTACTCCAATGCACACGTGCACATAATAAATTTGCTATGCTTTTCCCTTGTTAGCTTGTCTATTGTTATAGGGGTGTCAGCCGTGATCCTTAACGATCATCCCTTTTCCACCCTTAAAATTTCTAGGCAAGACATACAAGGATCATCATGGGATTTGCGTAGGCCCTTGCCTGTTGGGTTCCCTACTTCCTGGACACCACATCTGATTCTTTGTCTGCTTACTCCCCCACATTCTGGAAGACCACATCCTTCCTAAGACAGGATGTATCAGAAGATAATTTTTCTTAGACTTTGCGTTTTTGAAAATGTCTCTATTCCACTATAACATGTGATTGAAAGTTGGGCTGTGAAGGGAATTCTGGGTTGGAAACCATTTTTCCCAAAATATTGAGAGTATTGTTCCACTGCATTATCTCCTAGCTATTGATGTTGAGAAAGCTGTTATGATTCTTGATCCTCTGTATGTGATCTGTGTTGTTTGTTGTTTTTTTTTTAAGATCTTCTCTAAATTCTTTTTCATTGACTTTGTTGGCTATGTGCTCACAGCCCTTTCAAACAGGAACTTTGTGTTCTTTACTCTTGGTGTTATTTTATTATTTCTTTAATAATTTTCCTCTTCACTGTTTTCTTTTTCTTTTTAGAATTCCAGTTTTTCATATCAAGACTGAATCTCTAATTTTCTTGTGTTTTATCCCCAATTTTTATCTATTATCTTTTTGTTCTATTTTCTGGGTAGTATTCCTCGAGGTTCATCCATAGTTTATTAAATTTTTATTCCTATCATGTTTTTAGTGTATAAGAGCTCTTTCCTATTCTCAGGAATTTCCCTAGTTCATAACATACTGATCTTCTTTCATGGTTATATGTAACTGAAACCTCCCTTCATAAAACTAATAAAGGGCTGCAAGGTGGGAACTGTGCTAGGGGCCTGAACTCCGCAAAGGTATAGGCATAGTTAAAAAAAAATAACCAGCCATTGTTCCCTGGCTTGCTTTTCTCTTACAATGTACTACTTAGGAGTCACATAACTGATGGTCATAAAGATTAGCAGCTTTCTTCATTGCTCCCATAGACAACATCACCCTTGTGAAACCTAAGGCTGGTCTTTGAAGTATCTTCCAGATCCTGCATTCCGGTGTACCAACTGACCAAACCAGGCCAGTGACCCCCCACCCAGCAACTGACTCAGTGCAAGAAGACAATTTCTATACCCCTGCGATTTCATCCCTAACCCAACCAATCAGTAATACTGATTCCCTGGCTCCCTGCATTTCAAGGATTTAAAAACCCTAGTCTCCAAATTCTCAGGGAGGTGGATTTGAGAAATTCCTCCCGTCTTCTCACTGGGAGCCCTGCAATATTAAACTTTTTCTCTGCTGCAACCCCTGCTGTCTCAGTGTATTGGCTCTCTTCTGTACAGCAGGCAATACAACCCAATTGGGCCATAACATAATAGCTTCCTCTTTTGCTCTGAGGATACAAATTATAGTGTATTTAAAGTGTTTTGTTCCCTAGAATCTCTCTGACCTTCTTTTGTCCATTCATAATTAAAACAGACAAGGAAACGATGATTGGAAACTTTGTGTACATGGGTGGGGCTTACTGACTGGTGCACTTTGGGAATCCAGTAGGAATCCATATATTTATCTAGTTGGGGGAGCCTACGTATAGGCTATCCTAATATTCAACAAGCAGATTTTAGGTTAAGAAATATTATTAGAAATAAAAGGAGATATTTTGTAATAATTAAAGACTTAACAGATAGATATAGCAATTGTAAATTTGTACATATCTATTGATAACATAGCCTCAAAATATGCAAGACAAAAGTCAAAAAAACTAAAAGGAAAGGTATGCAAGTGTAAACCCATAGTTGAAGAGTGTAAAATACTTTGCTCAACTGATAGAACAAGTGGACAAAAATATTAGTAAATACATAGCAGAGTTTTATAACACAATTAATGAGCCTGACTTGAGATATGTGTGTGTGTGTGTGTGTGTGTGTGTGTGTGTGTGTGTGTATAGTTCACTGCACCTGAAAACCATCACAGTTTTTCAAGTACTTAGGGAACATTTACCAAAATAGAGTTACTTTGCTAAACACCAATAACAAAATGATTATTAGAAAATTTGCAAATACTTTAAACAACATACTAGATTTAAATAACCCATGGATCAAAAACAAAATCACAATGTAAATTAGAAATTACTTTGGCCTGAATATGACAAAATTCCTACTTCAACTGCATCCCTATCAAAACATGAGGGACACAAAGTAGGAAATGTTTACAGAGAAATTTATAGCTTTAAGTGCATATGTTAAGAAAGAAGAAAGGCTCTAAAGCAATGATTTAAGCATCCACCTTAAGAAACTGGAAAAAGATTAGCAAATTTACCCAAAGAAATCAGAAGGAAGGAAATATTAATAATAAAGATAGGAAAAGAATTGATAAAATACAAAACAAGTATATTACGGGGTGGGGGGTAAGGGGTGGGGAAACCAAAGCCAGAAGCTGGTTCTCTGAAAAGACTAATAAAATTAATAAACCCCTAACAATACTAATCAATAATCACCCCTTTAGAAGGCTCAAGCCTGGCTGTCAGAATATTTGGAAGCAGGATATAAAAGCCAGGAAGGCTGAGAGCTGGTATCCTAATGCCCTGGAAGTATAGAGGATCAAGGAGAGCTGGGAATGAGCTCATTACAGTTAGCGGAACCAGGAGTTATGAAGAACTTCAACTTTACACTTCTTTGTATCCCGTCAGCACAAAATACAATGCTTGACACATAAATAAGTATTCAATTTGTAGATATCCTCACATAATATTTTCTGGTTTATATAAGCAAGTTTGTCCATAACCAAAACCATAAATTTCTTGGGGCAGATATTCAATAGCGCTTTTTACTTCATTCCTTTGAGAAATTACAACCTTCATGAAAACACAACTAAAAAAATATCTCTGCTTACTGACCAAGGGAAGCAAGCAACATGGAAACATGCTATCCATCCAGGACCTCAGAGGGTGCCAGCAAAGGGAGAATACAAGGAAGTGAGGGAGTGTTTGCAGGTTACAAAAAACACCAAGTTTGTGCCAAACTCGGTTGTGGGTTCTAAAGTTATGCTATCCACAAGGTGGCGGAATCCCAAGCATGAAATTAATATAAATTCTGGTCCAAAACCACTGAAATACCAATGGCTCCAGCAGAAGTAAATTTTGAAATTGCTCAAATGCTCTGCAGCGCTTACAGGTCTTTCCACTTGTGCGTGCGTGTGTGTGGCGGGAGGGTGTCACTGAAACAAGTACACAATCAAAAATTACAAACTCATAAACAATCCAACAATTTCAATGACCAATTTATTCCACACTTAGTAAATAATCATGGAAATAGAAGAACAATCGAAGAGATTATAAAATAAATTATGTTAACGATTATTAAGAAGATAAAAGAAGGAAATGGAAACATATCAGAAAAATAGGGCAAGTACATAAAAAAAGAACTGATAGAATTTGAATTTCAAAAAACTACCAAATATAATTCTCACATAAAAAATAAAGTTACTGGCTGGGCGTGGTGGCTCACGTCTATAATCCTAGCACGCTGGGAGGCTGAGGCGGGAGGACTACATGAGCTCAGGAGTTCGAGACCGACATGAGCAAAAGCAAGACCCTGTCTCTACTCAAAATAGAAAAAAATTAGCCGGGCATTGTTGCTCACACCAATACTCCCAGCTACTCAGGAGGCTGAGGCAGGAGGATTGCTTGAGCCCAGGAGTTTCAGGTTGCTGTGAGCTACAATGATGCCACTGTACTCCAGCTGAAGTGACAGAGTGAGAGGAAAGAAGAAAAGAAAGAAAAGAAAAGAAAGACAGTTACTAGAAATAAACAGGTTAAATAGAAGATTAAATACAGATAAAGAGATTTTAGTGAACTGGAAGAGGTCTGATTAAAAAACACCCTGAATGCAACGCAGAGAGATAAGGAGAAGAAAAATAACCACTCAGTTTTAAGGTTGTTTTTAAGCATCAACAGATAACAAAAACACTTCTCAGAAGCAATAACAGATACCAGAAAACAATGAAAAAATATCTTTAAAATGCTGAGGGAAAATAATGCTCAACCTAGAATTCTAAAACCAACTAAATACCTTCGTAGAGTAAGACCAAAATACATTTTTAGACAGACAAATAGTGAAAGTTCACCACTTGTCCTCACAGAAAGAAATACTAAGGAACATACGGATACAAGAAATAATTGTAAGCAATGAAATTTACAAATATGTTGGTAAATCTAAATGAGCAATGACTTGTTTAAAAATAAGATAGAACTATAATATTAAATAGTACTTAATCTGGTCAACTAAATACTGTAATTTATATTTTGATGTTTTGAACTTGTACTTAAGATAACATTAGCATACGGAAAATGTCCTAAAGAACAGCCAATATATGTGAAAGCATCTCCAAAATTTTATACTCACTATTTATAAATTCTTCCCCTCTCCTTCCCTACCACAGATGAGAAGGTCTCAGCCCCAGCCATTAAGGGATGGAGAAGGGACACAAAAAGGAGGAAAATGAGAGGGCAGCAAGCAAGATAACTCAGTCCTGCCATTCACCCAGGTGAGCATTTGCTGCCTGCTGCTTTTACTTTGAACTTTTATCTGCTTTGACATAATCAGAAATCATGCCATGGACATGCAATGTGAATGATAATTTTACACATTAAAGACCATGTTATGATCAAAAAGCAGCTTACAAAAGACTTGAAGCAAAGAACTCTCATAACCATATGAACTATTAATCCTCTCCTCCATTTCATTCTTAACATATAAATTTTCAATGTGCCTACTTAAAATTTTTAGTCCCCAATGTAAAAAGTTCAGAACTTCCATTTTCAATTAACATAGGAATCAGTTATATTACTAACAGAAAGTGATTAACCATTTTTTAAAAGGCTATTAAACATTACTTACTTTAACAGCAAATTTCTTAGATGCCATGGCTTACTGATTGCACAATAACTTCAGACCTTTAAGAGAGAGAAAAAAAAAATAAAGTTATAATTAAGTATATCAAAATCTCCTTTTCTTTGGATATTATGTAAGAGAACAGTTGGCTGAATAATAAAATATCAATAGGAATTTGTGGATGAATGTTCACTTATAATTGTTCTTAACCAAAATACTATATTAAATTGTTAACTTAAAAACTGCCCACGGCCGGGCGCGGTGGCTCACGCCTGTAATCCTAGCTCTCTGGGAGGCCGAGGCGGGTGGATTGTTTGAGCTCAGGAGTTCGAGACCAGCCTGAGCAAGAGCGAGACCCCGTCTCTACTAAAATTAGAAAGAAATTAATTGGACAACTAAAAATATATAGAAAAAATTAGCCGGGCATGGTGGAGCATGCCTGTAGTCCCAGTTACTCGGGAGGCTGAGGCAGGAGGATCGCTTGAGCCCAGGAGTCTGAGGTTGCTGTGAGCTAGGCTGACGCCACGGCACTCACTCTAGCCCAGGCAACATAGTTAGACTCTGTCTCAAAAAAAAAAAAAAAAAAAACAAAAAAACTGTCCACAAAAAGAAAAGCATAGGCCCAGATGGTCTCCCTGATGTATTCTACCAAATGTTTTAAGAATAATTAATATGAACCCTTCAAAAACTCTTTAAAAAAATAGGCACATGAGAAAAACTCAAATCATTCTAAGAGACCAGTATTATCTTGATACCAATAACAGAGACATCACAAGAAAACTACACACCACTATGCCTTAGGAAGAAGGACACAAAAATCCTCAACAAAATACTAGCAAACCCAACACAGCAACTTATGAAAAAGATTATATTGTATACTATAACCAAGTTGGATTTACCCAGGAATGCAAGGGTGGTTAACATCTGAAAATTAATCAAAATAATATATCATATTAATAGAATAAAAGAAAAAAATGCACATAATCATCTCAAATAAAAAAAAAATCACTTAAACACAAAATGCTTTCCTGATTTAAAAAAATCCAGCACAATAGGAATAGAAGGGAGTCCCTCAACCTAATAAAAGGTGTCTATGAAAAACCCACAAGTAAAATCATACTCAATGGTGAAAGACTGAATGTTTTTTCCCTTAAGATAAGAAAAAGACAAGGATGTCTGCTCTTGCCACTTCTATTCAACATTGTATTAGAGATTCTGACCAGAGCAATTCGGCAAGAAAAAGAAATAAAAAGCATCCAGATTAGGAGGGAAGAGACAACACTATGTCTATTCACAAAAAAAAACCATAGTCTTATATATAGAAAACCCTAACGAAATCACCAAAAAACTACTAAAATTAATAAACGAGTTCAGTAAGGTTGTAGGATATAGGATTAGTATTTTAAAATCTACTGTATTTCCATACAACAGCAATGAATAGTCTTAAAATGAAATTAAGAAAACAATTCCATTTACAATACCATCAAAAAGAATACTTAGGAATAAATATAATAAAGAGTACCAAATCTGTACACCAAAAGCCATAAAATATAACTGGATGAAATTAAAAACTTAAGTGAATGGAAAGTGATTAACCATTTTCTAAAAGGCTATTAAACATTAGCGCTCATGGATTAGAGTACTTAGTACTATTAAGATAGCAATAGTCCCCAAATTGATCTACAGATTCAACACAATCCCTATCAAAATCCCAGCTGACTTTGTATAGAAATTGACAACTTATCCTAAAATGCATATGAAAGTGCAAAGGATTGCCAAAACGATCACAAAAAAAGAAAAAAGTTGGAAGACTCAGACTCCCTGATTTAAAAACTTACTGCAAAGCTACAGCAATCAAAACAGTGTGGTACAGGTTTAGTACTCTTTATCCAAAATGCTTGGGACCAGAAGTGTTTCAGATTGCAGGTTTTTTTGGGTTTTGGAATATTCGCATATACATAACGAGATATCTTAGGGTTGGGACCCAAGTCTAAACACAAAATCCATTTATGTTTTATATTCACTTGTACACACACCCTGAAGGTAATTTTATACAGTATTTTTATAATTTTGTGCATGAAAAAACGTTTTGAATGTGGCCCATTACACAAGGTCAGGTGTGGAATTTTCCACCTGTGGCATCATGTTGGCACGCAAAAAGTTTTGGAGTTGAGAGTATTTTGAATTTAGCATTTTTGGACTGGGGGTGCTCAACCTGCACTAGCATAAAAACAGACATATAGATCAATGGAACAAAGTCAAGAGTCCAGAAATAGATCCTTACATTTATGGTCAATCGATTTTCAACAAGGGTGCCAAGATAATTTGATGGGGAAATAGTTCTTCCAACAAATAGTGCTGGGACAGTTGGATATCTACATGCAAAATAATAAAGTTGGGCCCCTACATCACACTACATATAAAAATTAACTCAAAGTAGATCAAAGATCTACATATAAGAGTTAAAACTATAAAATTCTTTGAAGAAAACATCAGCATAAATGTTTGTGACCTTGCATTTGGCAATTGTTTTTTAGATATATCAAAGCATAAGTGACAAAAGAAAGAATTCAGTAAATTAGATTTCATCAAAATTAAAAACTTTTATACTTCAAACCTAGAAAGGAAAAAGACAAGCCACAGAATAGGAGACGATATCTGCAAATTATACATCTGATAAGGGACTGTTTTCGTGCATTGGTGTTGCTATAAAGGAATACCTGAGGCTGCGTAATTTGTAAAGAAAAGAAGTTTATCTGACTCAGAGGTGTACAGACTGTACAAGAAGCTTCTGCTCGGCTTCTGGTGAGGGCCCCTCAGGCTGCTTCCACTCATGGTGGAAGGCAAAGGAGAGCCATCATGCAAAAATCACTTCTGTTCTTCTGAGAACAGAAGACAGAGGGGAGGGAGGTGTCAGGCTGTTTTTAACAACCAGCTCTCAGAGGAACTCTGTCAGGAACTAATAGTGTGAGAACTCAATCATTACCTGCAAGGATGGCACCAAGCCATTTATGAGGGATCCACCCATATGACCCAAACACCTCCCATTAGGCCCCATCTTCAACATGGAGGATCAAATTTCAACATGAGGTTTGGAGGGTCAAACATCCAAACTATAGCAGAGACTCATGTCCAGAATATATAAAGAACTCTCACAACTCGATAAAAGGACAAATAACCCAATTTAAAAATGGGTGAACAGATAGCAGAGTTATGCAGCGGAAGGTTCTGGACCCATAAAAATGGGTGAAGAACTTGAACAGAAATTCTTTCAAAGAAGATATACAAATGGCCTATAAGCACATGAAAAGATGCTTAACATCATTAGCTATCAAAGAAATGCAAATCAAAACCATATTGGGATATTACTTTACACCCATTAGGATGGCTAAACTCAAGATGACTAACAGTAACAGGTGGTTGGCAAGGATGTGAATAAGCTGGTACTCTCACACATTGCTGGTAGGAATGTAAAATGTTGCAGCCACTTTGGACAATAGTTTGGCAGTTCTTCAAAATTTAAGCAGAGTTGCCATATGATCCAGCATTTCCATTCCTAGGTATATATCCAAGAAAAATAAAATAAAAACATCATGTCCATACAAAAAATTGTACAGGAACGTTCACAGAAGCATTATTAACAATAACCAAAAAGTAGAAACAACCCAAATGTCTATCAACTCATGAAGGGATAAATAAAATGTGGTACATCCATACAACAGAATATTGTTTGACAATAAAAAGGTAAATTTTACTGTGCTCAGCCAGGCAACTGCCCTTTTCCACCCCCGCAGAAGCCTGGAGTATTGTCTGGAGAGGGTCAGACAGAAGTTCTCTGGTCTGGAAAGCACCAGACGCAGTATAAGGTGGGGGCTACTCTCCTGAAAAAAGAGATTAGAAAACATTTGCAAACTGAGACCTTCCCCAGCTGGCATGCCCCTCTACTCTGCCTAACTCTCCAGACAGGAGATCGAAACTTCCCTATTCAAGGAATTGGACTAACCTAAAAGGCAGGATCTTAAAAACACTGACATCAGGGGTTCCCCAAGGAAATAGCCTAGACAGATGGCTCTAAAGTGAAGTCCACAACCACAAGCCCCACACCCATGTGCAGAGATCCTAGTCATCTTTTTAATGTCCCATTCTCAAATACAAGTAAACAACCAGGAACCACCTACAATCTAAGGCAAGATTCTATCATGAAAGAAAACCAAAAAGACAGAAAAGCTACTTAGCTGAAAGAAAGTAAGAAGAGAGAAGGAAATCTTTTTTCTAATAAAATCTATCATTAAGGAGATCAGAGATATTGCATCCATAAAGCAAAAAATAACGCAAAAGGGGGAACTTTCAGAAAACAACAAATTAAAACCATGATAGCCAAAATAAAAAACTTAATAGACAAGTAGGAAGCTAAGTAAATCTCTCAGAAACTTCAGCAAAAATAAAAGAGATAAAAAAATAAGAAAGAATAAATTAAAATTAAAGGACCAGTATAGGAGGCCCAACACAGGAAAATTAGGATGGAAACAGGCCCATATTAGGGTGTCTATCACCCTAATGTTAGGCATTGGGGAAAAAAGAACCTTGAAAAAGTTTTTTTGGGGGGACTAGGGGTAGGAGGCAAATAATAGAAAGCATAGGAGCCAGAATTGGCTCCAACTGCCTCAAGCAATTCTGGAAGCTAAAAGGCAACGGAGAAATATCTTCAAAATTCTGACGAAAATTGTTTCCAACCTCCAACTACATTTAAACTTCAGGGGAGAAAAAACATTTTTAGACATGCAAGTTTTTAAAAAATGTACATCCCATGCATCCTTTCTCAGGAAGCTACTAAAGATGTGCTTCACCAAAATGAGGAAATTAACCAAGAAAGAGGAAGATGCAGGAAACAGGAAGGGCGCGGCAGGAGGAAGGCAGAGGAAAGCTGAGGATCTGGGGAAAGGAGACCCTGCATGAGAGCCATGGGCAAAGGGCAGACCGCTGGTCCACACTGGAACAGGTTGCAAGGATCCAGGAAAGGCATGTCCAGAAGGGTCTGCATGCATGCACATGAACTTTAGAC